GTTGCTTCTCTCCTTGATTAGTTTCCATCCATTGATTCTTGTCCTACTATCCTTCTATCTCATTGGACCCATTCTTCTATTGTGGCAGCTTCTCAAATACTGGGATACTGCTATCATGTCACCCCCAAATTCTTCTTTCCTTTAGACTAGCCAGACCCAGATCCTGCAGCCGTTCTTGGTATGTTTTTTAGTCTCCAGGCCTTTAATCCTCTGAGTTGCTCTTCTCTGGAACTTTTTCCAAAGTCTCACCTGGTTGGGTTGCTTGCAGTGTTTAAGATGGAGTCTCGCAGCTCGGGATCCCCGACAACTGGACCTCCAATCAATGACAGGTCACGGTTGTCCCAAAGGTGCTTTTTTTAAGAGGCAACTGGACTTTCTGGTTTTTCTTTGAAGACGTTTCACCTCATCCCAGAAGCTTCTTCAGCTCTGACTGGATGGCGGGGAAGGGAAGGACTGATACTCCTTGCAGGCAGCTGGTCATTTGCATCCTTTGTATAAATCCATTCCCCATCATCCAGAGCTGAAGAAGCTTCTGGGATGAGAAGCGAAACGTCTTCAAACAAAAATCAGAAAGTCCAGTTGCCTCTTGAAAAAAGCACCTTTGGGACAACCATGACTTGGATGACTGAGAATCTCCACAGACAGGACAGTTGCAGCAGCCTCGACATCTTTGCTGCCTCCTCCTGGCCATCTTGAAGCATTACAGGCAAGATCTGAGTGCTCTAAGCACTCCACTGAATCCCATTACCATAATGGAGCATCCTCTGGGGGTTGGGCTTCAAAATTTTAGCAATGGGTTCTCTGCCCAGTTGCTGGGTGGGTGTGCCCATGGTGGGCGTGGCCTAGTTGGCCTCCTGCACCATGGCAGTGGGGGTGTTTTTGCCCTCCCCAGGCTCCGGAGGCTTTCCTCGAGCCTCTGGGAGGGTGAAACTGGCCTCCCCGGGCTCCGGGGGCTCTCTGGAAGCTGGAAACGGGTCCATTTCTGGCCTTCCTGAACTTCCGGGAGGCCCGTTTTTCACCCTCCCCAATCCTCCAGGCCTCCTGTTGAAAGCCAGTTGTTGACTGCGCCAATCACCTGTGGACAGTGAGTTCTAGTCCTGCCTTCGGTATGAAAGCTGGCTGGATGACTTTGGGCCAATCACAAGTGGATGGCGAGTTCTAGTCCCGCCTTAGGCATGAAAGCTGGTTGGTGACTGGACCAATCACCTGTGGACAGTGAGTTCTAGTCCCACCTTAGGCATGAAAGCCAAATGGATGACTTTGGGCCAATCACGAGTGGATGGCGAGTTCTAGTCCCGCCTTAGGCATGAAAGCCGGCTGGTAACTGGACCAATCACCTGTGCTCAGTGAGTTCTAGTTCCACCTTAGGCATGAAAGCCAAATGAATGGCTTTGGGCCAATCACGAGTAGATGGTGAGTTCTAGTCCCGCCTTAGGCATGAAAGCCAGCTGGTGACTGGGCCAATCACTCTCTCTCAGCCCAACTCACCTCACAGGGATGGTGTGGGGAAAATAGGAGGAATTTGTGTTGGATTTGTTTGCCATCTTATTTTGTAAAAAAATAAATAAAGGTGGGATACAAAAAAATGAGGACAAAGCGCTCCTCTTTTCCCACAAACTATAAAAATAAAAACAGCCCCCTTTAGGGGACACGTGAGAATCAAGCACAGAGAATAAAACAATAAAACTTTTTTATTAAACATTGCCAGTGTGAAAACAAGCTACATGGATTTTTCCCATTGGGCTAACAATTGAAAACGTTACTTTTATATTTAAAATTAAGCTCTTCCTAAAATATACCTGTCTGAAAAACTTGTTCCATCCCCATTTAATCCACATAAAGGCCAATCATTTTATGGCTGGACTTGTTCTTACGTTCCTTTCCTTTTCTTTTCTGGACTTGTTTCTTTCTGCATTTGTCTGTGACTGACTCAAGAGCTGCTGAGGAAGACGAGTGAGAACATACAAGAGCTCCGTATGGCATTTTGACTCGGTTTTACAAAGGTTAAAACTATCCCCAGTGAGGCAAAATGGACCCTTAAATGGTCGCCAAAGACTGTGATCTAAATTCTTGAAGGACCTTCATCGAAAGTTTCCTGGAGAGAAGCTCGCTGTCTTCTGCTATCTTGTCAGAATGACATGCAGCCAACATCTGCAGAAGAAACTGAAACAGAGAAGCATAAGCAGTACTTAAAAATCACATAATTTCCTCAGTCGAGTAGACACAGCGCTATATTTTATGAGTATTATATGTCACAGCTTATGTGAGATGTTCACAATCCCCACTCATAGCCCTCTGTGACATCAAACATTACATACAAGACAGGTTGGTGGGCAGAGAGCTAGGTTGGTAACTAGAAGACGTGAACAGGTCAAGGTGGACAAGTTAACGCTGAGGATGTGTTGAATTCACAGCCCCGAAAATAGGACTAACTCCTTTGTTCCTAATGGGATTATCACAGGTTCCTCACACAATTTCACCGTTTTGGAAAAGCCTAGTCAGTCTTCAATCAAGACAATTTTAAACAAATCACCATTGGGAATCAATCCTGAACATTTTGATAGTTACCAATATCTGAGCAGGAATCCACATTGGAAGAGAAGAAGAAGCTATAATAATTTGGTGGAATTGGTGGAGAGGATTTAACCCGAGCATAGAACTTTCTCCCCTCAAATAACATTTGATTGTTAGTCTGTAATGTTCTACTTTGGACTGCAAAGAAAATTGAATGGATCAATCCGAAAAAACTACTATTGTGTTCAATTTTTACTCCAAAGATAAGAAGCAAGCTAATGGAAACCAGATCCCACCCCACCCAAAAATAGCCCGATTGAGATCCAATTATTGGCATCATGTTTCAAGATATTTGTTTTTTTATTTTTATTTTATTTTATTTTTAAATATACATCAACATCAGTGTGGCATCTGGGTTTTGCTTTTTTATTATTATTATTTTATTTTTATTTTATTTATTTTTTATAAAAAAATTATTGGTTTTTAAAACAAACATAAACAAACAAAACATAAAAACATCAGGCCATCTTCTATATATGTACATACAGAGTGCCGGTTGGTTTACAAATTGTTTTGTGCTTCCATTTCGTAGTCTTCAATTACAATTAGATTGTATATGATCTCATATTTTCAATCCAATATTAAATACATTGGTATTATTATTAATCAATCATTTGACTATACTTTTATTCATTCATGCTTTGGAAAATAATCATGTTTTACTTAATTTGTTTTGTGACAATTCATATTATCATCCCAAATCTATCCTAAAAATATTTGTAGATATAATAAGAAAAGAATACATCTTTATATATTTAGTATTTTCTAAAAGTATACATATTTTGTTACTATACTTTATTGTCTAACCATTGATAGAATAGATCCCAAACTTTATAAAATTATTTATCATCCTGTTCTCTAATTTCAAATGTCAAGATGTTCAGTTCAGCACATTCCAATATTTTCTTAATAATTTCCTCCTGTGATGGTATTTTCTCATTTTTCCAGTTTTTAGCAAATACAATCCTTGCCGCTGTTAATACATTTACAATCAGGTATTTCAAATCTTTACTATATATTTTATTTTTAAATATACATCAACATCAATACATGAACAGTGTAGCATCTGGGTATTGTTTTTAACTAAAATACAAGTAGTCCTCGACTTACGACCACAATAGAGCCAAAAATTTCTGTTGCTCAACGAAACAATTGTTAAGTGAGTTTTGCCCTATTTTATGACCTTTCTTGCCACCGATGTTAAGTGAAGCACTATAGTCCTTAAGTTAGTAACATGGTTGTTGAGTGGATCTGGCTTCCCACTGACTTTGCTTGTCAGAAGGTCACACAGAAAGGAGATCCCATGATCCTGGGACACTACAACTTCCAAGCGTCTGAATTTTGATTGCATGGCCATGGGGATGCTTCAGTGGTCATAAGAGTGAAACTTGTTCATACATCACTTTTTTCAGTGCTATTGTAACTTGAGATGTTCATTAAAAGAACCATTGTAATCTGATTGTGTCATCTAACAGATAACAGATAATCAGAGTTGGAAGGGAACTTGTAGGTCACCTAGTCCAACCCCCCACCCAAGCGGGAGACCCTACATCATTTCTGACAAATGGCAGTCTAGTCTCTTCTTGAAAGCTTCCATTGATGAAGCTCCCACAACTTCCAAAGGCAACTTCTGTTCCATGGGTTGATTGTTCTCACCGTCAGAAAGTTTCTCCTTATTTCCAGGTTGAATCTCTCCTGGATCAGTTTCCATCCATTATTTCTTGTCTGGCCTTCGGGTGCCTCTCTAACTGTCCCACCAGGGAGCAGCATTTAACTAGCTTTACCATGCTTGAGGTGGGTGGGGGAAACAATGCAGAGCAAAACTTCATTAGAACTTAAATGAGAAATCATGAGGAAATCTGATGAGACTGCATGCTTTTGAAGAAGGAAAAATGGATGGATGGATGATAGATAGATGATAGATAAAGAGAGAGAGAGAAAGAGAGAATGGATGGATGGATGGATGGATGGATGGATGGATGGACGGACGGATAGATGAACAGATGGACTGACAAACTTCAAGTCCCAGAATTCCTAACCTGCAATGCTATGCTGGCTGGGGAATTCTGGGACTTGAAGTCCAGACATCTTCATGCTGCCAAGATTGACAAACACTGGTCCAGACTGTGATCTAATATAATAGCTGAGATAGCACTATAGCCAGAATGGCATTCCTAGGAGAGATCAGCATTATCCTTCCTTAATCTAAGGACAGGGTCTGAAACTCTTAAAGGCCGTATTCCAATGGTCAGTTTGAGCAGCATTTAACTAAAATTAAATGCACAGTATCCCACCTGAATAACCTACTCTAGCATGTGACCTTCTGCTTACCACCTACACTTCAGGGTATAGCTAGAAGATCGTAGATCGTTTGTTATTATGAACTAATTTTATTTCTTAGGGTGTTAAGGAGGCAGGTATCGGCTCAATCAGTTTATCAGATGCTTCTGAAGGTAGATATGTGAGTGTATATTTACATGAAACAAGACTACAGAAGGAATATATATCGTAGGAAGGAATATATTTCTGTACTACAGAATTACAATAGCCTGATCTTCCAGCTTGTGCGAAAATTCCAGGCATGCAAAAATGTGTTGAAAAGGCGGGGTGTCAATGTACTTCATTGACACAACCCAGCAGTAAAATTACACACCTAACAACATTACACAGGTTCAAAAGTGTTGCAGTGCTGCGCAAGAATGGAATGAGAAACAAAAGCTGATTAGAAAAGTGTAGTAGGAGCTTGTTTTAATCCACAGATTGTATCTGGAGATCGAAAGCAAATCTCAAGTCTAGAAATGCAAAATTAAGCCCCGTGTGGCTTTTGCTAAACATGGATAATACAATACTGTCCTTTTTGTCTCCCCAGCAATCTGTCCATCCTAAATTCTAATAAGAAACTCGCCTCAGATACACCTAAGATGAATCCACGATGCACGCTCATAGGATATTGGAACACTGACATGATAGCAGTCTTTCAATATTTAAGGGGCTGCTTTGAATTGTAAGTTTATAAAGTGTGATCGCTTCTTTATCACTGCAAGTCAGCTCTGGTTTTATGATTTACCATCCTTTCAAACCACACGGACAAAGAATTTTTTCTTTATGTGGCTTGATTTACGCTTGTAACCATTGCTGTCTGCCTCTTCGGTGTTTTATTTTTCTGGAATAAGTGATAAGAGGCTCACACTGGCCATGAAGCAGCAAGTAAACTAACCCTCTTTATAATTCCTGTTTCTGCAAAAAAAATATCTGATGACAAGAGTGAAGGTGATGATGACTTAAATCCCTCCATTCTTTTAGGGCCACATGGCAGTGTGCATAGTGCTTCTCCCTTCTATTTCTCTTGTACAGAAAAAATATGTATGATATCTAATCTACAAAGTGACCTTTAAACTATCTGTGGGTGTAGTATATGTAGTCTGAATGCCTGTTTTCGTCAGAGTAGTGTGTTTGTATGGATATGTTAGCTCTAAAAAGACAGGAGCCGCTAGGTAAAAGGTTATTCCTCCTTATCATTCTCCCCTTCTCTGTTTTTTTGCTAAAGAACTTTGCAAATATTTACTTAATGCTTCAGGAACCAGCCTCGTAACAATTCCTGCCAACAGATTCCCTACTTAGTTCGATACATGTTCAGACTCTTAAAAGCCTATCCGCTTTATGAACCAGAATTATTGTTATTATTATTATGACTATGGTTCGTCGCAGTCAGCCAGATGTTCAGGCTGGATTTGGCATTTTTATCTACCTATCGAGTCTGTTCCAAGGACCTGGAATAGGCCAATTGATGATGTTACAGGTATCATTGCAGGATGTAAGCTGTTCCAAAAAAAAATCTGCCTTCTGCAATTGATTGGTGGTGAATCTGTCAATGCCGATGATGTTCAAATGGTTTTGGGATTGAACCCAAGGAGCCTATGGCTATTGGGACTACCTTTGCTTGCTTCTTCCACAGTCATTCTATTTCTATTTGCAGTTCTTTATAGTCATATTATCTTCCCCAGTTGCTGAACTACAAAATACCCAATGCTTAATGCAACTTAAAATGAAGATTTTTAAACAGATAGTCTGTTTGGACAAAGGCAACAGGAGAGCTAATTCATCTGAGGAGATCAAAGGGCCAAAATGTGAATCAAAAAAGTCCCTGGTTCAGTCTTTCTTCTACATCAATCAGTTGAAAAGGTGACTTGAGTAATCCTGCAAGAAGAGAGCAATAAAACTGACCTACATTACAAGGTTCTTGAAAGGAATCGTGTGAATGTTCTAGGGCCCGCAGAAGGGAAATTTTAAGGGGTGGGTGGGTGGGAGAATGCAGAAATCTTGTCCTGCCCATGTTTTCTTTCTTTTTCTCTGGATTGAAAACTCCTAATGGCCGATTGTCTTTTTCCTTTCTCTCACCACCCTCATGTTTCTCTCAGAGCAATCCATGATGCAAAGCTACCGATGTGGCAATGAATAAAGCAAGATTCAAAGCAGAAGTAGACTTTGATGAGTGGTGGGTTATTCGGTCTTACCTGGAAAAACAAAGATTTTGAGCAGGTCTCACAAGCGCCTCACAAGTACTGGGCAGGGGGTTGGACTAGAAGACCTCCAAGGTTCCTTCCATCCCTATGATTCTATCCCCATCTACAGATACATCTTTGACGTAGGACCACAATGGCGCTTGCACCAAGCAAACCAATGATTCTCTAGGGGCATGGTTTTGTTGGTTTCTGCAAAATGCAGTCATGTGACCGTGGAATGCCGCAAACAGACATAAAGGCAACTGTGTTGTCAAGTCATGTGACTGAAGAGGAGACTCGACCGTCAGAAGTTCAAATCTGGGTCATAAATCCCCTTTTTTTGAGTCGATTGTAAGCCAAGGGCGACCTGCATTTTCAAACAGCAAGAGGCCACCCAACAGTAGGCAGACAAGCAGAGAGGTCTCACTAGATTGGGGGTCCTGGCAGTCACCAATTTAACCACTCTAAGGTAGACAGAATAGCAATAGCACTTAAGACTTACATACAGCTTCATGGTGCTTTACACCCCTTTCTAAGCGGTTTACCTATCACCACCAACAATCTGGGTCCTCATTTGACCCACCTCGGAAGGATGGAAGGCTGAGTTAACCTTGAGCCTGGCGGGGATTCGAACTGCCAAATTGCAGGCAGCCAGCAGGTATAAGAAGTAGCCTGCAGTATTGCACTCCAACCACTGCACCAATGAGGCTCTGCGGCTGCCTCCTTTGGTCTGCGGGGAGCCCGGGTTCGATATGGGATCAAATCCCAGGACTTCACTCACCTGAGGCTTCCTGTAACCTTTGGTTTCGAGGAATTGTTCAAAGGCATACGTCCCGTGCAGTGACGATTCTAATTCTGCCTCAGCCTGCAAGAGATTTGGGTTCATTTCTCCTGTCAAGAGACTACTTAAATTTTGTTAAGGCAGTGGTCCTCAACCTTTTCTTCTCCACACCTCCACCCCCTTTAAATACCTCTTGTGACCACGGGTCATGGCCACGGACCCCCCCCCTCAAGACTTAACTCAAGATTTAAACCATAACATTTTTCCAAGCCTTCTCAAACTCTGTGATGACATCGCAAACCGCAGGCTGTGTTAGGGAATAAGATGTAGTGACAGCTATCTTCTCAGGATCCATAGGTCCTGATCTCAAGGTCTGGAGCCAAAAAGGGAACCCAGTAAAGTAGAGGTAGTCCTTGACTTACGACCACAATTGAGCCCAAAATCTCCAATGCCAAGCAAGACAGTTAAACAACTGAGTTTTGTACCATTTTAAGACCTTTCTTGCCAGGTGAATCTGGCTTCATTGCTTGTCAGAAGGTCGCAAAAAGTGATCCCATGACCCCGGGATAATGCAACCATCATAAACATGAGCCAGTTGCCAAATTTTGACCAAATTTTGGCCATGGGGATGCTTATTATCATTACCTTTGCTGTCAGAGTACAACATGTGTACAATGAGATGCTGCAAAGTGTCAACTCATAAAATATTTCTATGGTCTTTTTAAAAGAGTTGCCAACAGAAAGGGAGGGGGGGAAAGGGGTTTGAAAGAGTAGTGTGGCAGCTTGGAAATCGAAACTGCATTCCATAAATAGTTTTTCAAAGATAGTAACTAGGTGACTGAAGTTTCTGCCGCGCAAAATTCTAACTGGAGAACATGATTGATGACTCCCGGCTATGGATATATCTCATTGGAGAATATGAATTATGATACATCCAGGGGGGTGGGGTGACAATGAATGATGTGTCTCAGATTTGGCTACCCCCAGAGGGTGCCAGACATGTTAACTCCCAATAAATCCTTTTGAAGTTTTGGAAGTTTGGCTCAAGACTTAATTGGGGTAACTGCCAGAATCTTGACACAAAGGTCATAATTGAAAAATGGTCATAAGTCACTATTTTCAGTGCCATTGTAACTCTGAACGGTCACTAAACAAATGATTGTAAGTCGAGCACTATGGTACCTGTATCATTGAACATTATTCCCCAGAAATATTATAGGAAGCGTACATAAGATTAGAATATTATATATTTATACATATACCCTATAAGAACATCATAAGCCTGCAGTGATACCGTTCAGATAACTCTGTCTTAGATTTACCATGCACACTGTATTTTTTCACAGATGCAGTTTCATCTGAATAAGTAATGGAAAGAGGTTTGTCATGGCTATTCCTCACCAATAAAATAAACAACATTTCTGTGTATTATTTTGTGCGGTGATCAGGGATTTTCCTTCGTATTTGCAAACTTTGGTGTTTTGGAAGCTGTAACAGGGGTGCAATCCCATCTGTTGACCATGGTGAATTATTTTATGGGTGGTGATATGGCAGATGGAATGTATATTGGGGGAGGGGTGTTGCTGTTTTTTTGAGATATGCCCAGAAGTCACATCACACCACCTTCCTAACTAGCAAACGTGGGGAAATCGTATCTCAGTTGATCAGCAGTGTGGAATCAAATTTCAGCGAGGTTTGAGGACCACCAATCCAAAAAAACAGTTTGAGGTTACAGATTGTTTGTGGTGTCCCCTAGTTTTTATTTCAAATTCCCTGAAAAGTAAAAATGACAGTCTTTCCATCATCTCAAATTGGTCTATAATATCCCAGAAGGTACTTCATAAAACTGGGGAACAGGAAAAAAATATTACTACCCATAGAAACTGTGTTTTCCCCCCTCGGATAGTCCTAAAGAATTTGAAAGGCAAATCCAAGATGGAACTGAGGAAAAAAAAATTAAATAGGGGTCCTTGATGCTCTCTGAGCTTGGTGGCTTACTTGAAGACATTTCATTACCAAACTAGGTAACATCATCAGTCTACAAGGAGTGGGGTTTGCGAGGAGGAGGAGGAGGAGGAGGAGGAGGAGTTTGGTATTAATCAATAATTTTAAAAACCAATGAATTTAAAACAGGCCTAAAACACACACCAGAAATAGTGAGGAGAATCAACCCTGAGGGGAGCCAGCAAAGAATACAATACAGAATGCTGTGAAGTTACCTTTTGGACAATCTTCTTCCTGGCCTTCAGGAAGATTTGTAGACATTCTGGAATTTCTTCCTTCTCAGTTGCTCGTTTCTTTTTCCATGTCTTTGGAGGAAGGTACCAGGCTCCATATTTAATCTTTTCCCATTTGGGCTCAGAAGGGGTTAGCTAAAGACAAGAGATGTCAGGCTTGTTTTTCCAACGTCCTGGTCATTGGTGCATTTTCTGCACTCAAGCAATGGTCGAGGACGTCACCAGACCAATAGTCTTTTAGTTCTTCAACCCATTGGGTTGCACACAATAACAGAGTTGAAAGGGACCTGGGAAATCAACTTCGTAATTATTGCAAATAATAAACTGCTAGCTATTTTTATAATAATAACCCAGTTAATTGTCAAAGCCCAAAGTCAAGGTTTCATTTTTTTTCTCTCTTTCAAAAAGTCCAGAAGCTGTTTCCAAATAACCACAAAAAATTTTCCGTTCTTGTCCCAGAATAGAATAGAATTAGAGGTGGTATTCAGCAGGTTCTGATCAGTTCTGGAGAACCGGTAGCGGAAATTTTGAGTAGTTCAGAGAACCGGCAAATCCCACCTCTGACTGGCCCCACCAACTCCATCTCTTCTCTGCCTCCCATTGAGTCCCAGCTGATCAGCTGGATCTTCTTTAGTTGCCCTGCACAGGAGAACAGAGCTGGAAAGCAGGTTAGTCGGGTGGGGAGGGAATGGGGATTTTTTAGTATCCTTCCCCTGCCATGCCCACCAAGCCACGCCCACCAAGCCAAGCCACGCTCACAGAACCGGTAGTAAAAAATTTTTTGAATCCCACCACTGAATAGAATAGACACAGTTGGAAGGGGCCTTGGAGGTCTTCTAGTCCAACCTTCTGGGCAAGCTGGAGACCTTATACCATTTAAGACAAATGGCTGTCCAATCCCTTCTTAAAAACTTCCAGCGATGGAGTACTCACAACTTTTGGAGGCATGTCACTCCACTGATTTTGGGAGCTAGTTACTGCCAGTGGTGGGATTCAAAATGTTTTACTACTGGTTCTCTGGGCATGGCTTGGTGGGCGTGGCTTGGCGGGCATGGTAGGGGAAGGACACTGCAAAATCCCCCTTCCCTCCGCACCCCACTAACCTGCTTTCCAGCTCCGTTCTCCTGTGCAGGGCAATCAAAGAAGACCCAGCCGATCCGCTGGGACTCAATGGGAGGCGGAGAATAGATGGGGTTGGCGGGGCCAGTCAGAGTGGTATTTTCCGGTTCTCCAAACTACTCAAAATTTCCACTACTGGTTCCCCAGAACTGGTCAGAACCTGCTAAATGCCACCTCTGGTTACTGCTACATCTGGCCTTGCCAAAGCCTGACGAGGCTAAGCTGGCTAGGGAATTCTGGGACTTGAAGTCCACCCCTCTTAAAAATTGCCGAGGCTGACAAAACTTACCTACTTATTTCTTTTTACGTGACATGCACATTATCAAATCCCTCAATAATTACCTCAGTATCTGTTACCGTTCATTTTGGCCTCCTTACCTTTGTGGGAATCCTCTTCTGGACCGGATGCCCCCCCAGATATTGTCTCAGCTCTGCTGGTATTTGATAGAGCTCCACTATTTTAATGGGTGTAGCTGTCTTGATATCGCTTTCGTACCTCGTGTCAAAGAGTTTCATGATGGTGTCTTCATCAATGTTGTACTTGTCTCCTCCCTGGGGTAGTAGACCAAGAATACACACTCAGGTAACATTGCAAGCACTCAGTCGAGAGCAGTGTTCTCAACTTTGGCAGCTTGAAGATGCCTGGACTTCAACTCCCAGAATTCCCCAGCTAGCGTCTATAAAAAACAGCAACCGTGAAAGGGATCCTAGAGTGTTAGCAGACAACCAATTAAATATGAGCCAGGAGTGTGCAGCGGCAGCCAAAAAAGCCAATGCAATCCTAAATTGCATTAACAGAGAGATACAATCAAGATCAAGGGAGGTACTAATACCTCTCTATAAAGCCTTAGTAAGACCACACCTAGAGTACTGCATCCAGTTTTGGTCACCACACTATTAAAAAGATGTTGAGACTCTAGAAAAACTACAGAGAAGAGCAACCAGGGTGATGAGGGGACTGGAGGCTAAAACATATAGAGAATGGTTACAGGAACTGGGCAAGTCTAGTGTAGTGAAGAGAAGAACTAGGCAAGACATGATAGCAGTTTTCCAATATTTGAGGGGCTGCCACAGAGAGGAGTGGGGGGGGGGGGATGTCAAGTTATTATCCAAACCACCCGAAGGCAAGACAAGAAATAATGGATGGAAATGAACAAGGAGAGATTCAACCTGGATATAAGGAGAAACTTTCTGACGGTGAGAACAATCAGCCCATGGAACAGAAGTTGCCTTCAAAAGTTGTGGGAGCTTCATCACTGGAAACTTTCAAAAAGAAACTGGACTGCCATTTTGTCAGAAATGGTGTAGGGTCTCCCACTTGGGCGGGGGGTTGGACTAGATGACCTACAAGGTCTCTTCCAACTCGTTAATAAAAACAGCCATAAGCCACTTTTTTTCAGCGCCACTGTAATTTCAAATGGTCAATAAATGAATAGTTGGAAGTGAAGGACTAACAGTGAAGAATTCCAATATTGGCATTCAGCGAGTGAGCAGAAATTTGTCTTCATTGCTGCATGCAGCTTTTGTTGGATGTAAACACACAGAAGTGGTTTTGTTTTTGGCTGATCTGGGTTGAAGCCTTCAAGGTCAGAGTTTGAAAATCACCAAAGAGAGCCATCTTTGATCCAATAGGTATCAGGCAGATTGTGAGGTACAATTAGAACCAGTCATGAGGTCAATTGTTTTTAAAAATCTCGAGAGAAATGGTTAGTTTGTTGGTGGTTTGTTCACTTAACAATCGGGTTACTAACTTAACAGCTGCATTGATTCACTTAACAACTACAGCAAGAAACATTGTAAAATGAGGCAAAAATCACTTGAGAAATGTTTCCCTTAACAATAGAAATTTGGGGCTTGATTGTGGCCAGGGAACTACCGATATTGGAAAAGGTTATAAAGGACTGAAGGTTTTTCAGCTGAAGATATCGGAAAGCCATTTTGCTATGAGAATGCATACAAAAGTGGAGCAAGTGGCCAGTTTTAAGTTTCTGGGTGTTACCATAAAAGAGGACCTGACCTGAGGTGCTCACATTGCAGCCCTGGTCAAAAGGACCCAGCAGAGATTATACTACCTGAGACTTCTCAGGAAACAACAACTGAATGGAAACCTGTTGGTGACCTTCTACCACTGCACCAGAGAGAGTATCTTAACTTACTGCACCTGTGGTTGGTTTGTCAATTGCACAGTGGCAGATAGGACAGCGCTCCAGACGGTTAACGTCATTGCCCAGAAGATCATGGGTTGCCCTCTCCCCTCTTTGGAAGAGCTTTATAGCTCCCACTGCCTTAAGAAAGTTCAAAACATTCTCAACGATCCATCTCATCCTGGGAACCCTTTTCTTGAACTATTACCATCTGGCAGACAGTACAAAATAATAAAAACAAGGACAAATAGGCTGAAAAACAGCTTCTATCTCATGGCAGTAACTCTGTTGAATTCTACTGTATAGTACACCGAAGATGGTATTTAATTTTGTTGTACGATGTGCAATGACAATAAAGTAAGCTAAACTAAAAACTTAATGCAAGCAGCAGAAGAAGGGCTCAGGCAGGAAGCTTGACTCCCAGAAACCTTAATAATGTGAAAAATCCAAAACATCCTAAGAACTGAAAAGCAGAAATTGCTGGGGGCTGAGAGAAAATTTGCTTTAAAGCGCCCGTTCCTTTTTCAACTGATTTAAGTTGAAGATTGAATTTACAATGATTTGCCTGAGGGTGAAAGCTACTGGCAACAGTGGAGGATCTTTGTGGAATGATGGATCAGTCATATTTAAGTACATTTATGGCACCTTAACCTACTCTTTGAAAACTGTTTGAAACTGCAGATAGTCCTTGACATACGACCACAATTCATCCCAAAATTCCTGTTGCTAAGCGAGACAGTTGTCAAGTGAATTTTGTCTCATTTTATGACCTTCCTTGCCACTGTTGTTAAGTGAATCACTGCAGTTGTTAAACTAAGTAACAAGTTTGTCAAGTGAATCTGGCTCCCCCCATTGACTTCGCTTGCCAGGTAGTCATAAAAACATGATCATGTTACCCTGTCATAAATATGAACCGATTGCCAATCGTCTGAATTTCAATCACGCGGCCATGCAATGGTTGTAAGTGTGAAAAACAGTTATAAGTCACTTTTTTCAGTGTGGTAGTAACTTCAAACGGTCACTAAATGAACTGTTGTAAGTCGAGGGCTACCTGTATGACTATGATAATGATCTATTACTATTGTTGTATGTACACCAAGAGCTTTTGCACCAGAGACAAATTCCTTGTATGTCAGCCTCCAAGAATCCTTCTTCTCCTTGTCTTTCCGGCTGCCAAAGAAACAGGACTTCATGGGGAAAAAGTGTGCTGGAGATTTAAGTTGGTGAAATGTAAAACTTGGATGTTTTCTTGACTATGCTTACTGCACAGATGTAGCCTCTTATCTATTCAGGCCAAGGTCAAACGTCCTGGCATACCAAATGTGTGAAATGGCCACCTGAAAATGCACCCACAAGACATTATACACACCTCAGATTGGACAGCCAGTTTGAATTATTGGGGGTGGGAACATGGGAAAACTTTCTATATGTGATTTTTGTGCCTGTTGCCTCAGATCTTGTATTTCTTCTGATGCTACCACTTCAATTTTCAGTAAAAGTCCTTTTCTCTAGAACAATGGAGTCTAAGGTTTCCTTTCTTGGATTTTGAATGGAGGCTCACCCCAAGTGGCTAATCACCCCTGGCCAATAAATAATTCTAATTCTAATTCTATTGATATTAATACAGTTGAGAAAGTCCAGAAATATTTCACAAGAAGAGTTCTCCACTCCTCTACTCGTTGCAGAATACCTTAAGCCACCAGACTCGAAATTCTAGACCTAGAAAATCTAGAACTAACTAAATATAGTATATAAAATCATACATTGCAATGTCCTAGCTGTCAATGAATACTTCAGCTTCAACCATAACAATACAAGAGCAAACAATAGATACAAACTCAAGGTTAATAGCATCAAACTTGATTGCAGGAAATACGACTTCAGCAACAGAGTGATCAATGTCTGGAATCCTCTACCTGACTCTGTAGTTTCTTCCCCAAACCCCAAAAACTAACCTTAGACTGTCTACTATTGACTTTACCCCTTTCCTAAGGGGTCTATAGTGGGTGTGCATAAGCGCACAAACGTGCCTACCATCCCTGTCCTATTGTTTCTTTTTATTTTTCTTATATGTACCCATTTCATGTATTCATAACCATGCATATACTTATACCTATTATCTTGTAAGCAACTGACAAATCAAATAAATAAATAAATACATGCAGTATTTCCATTTTTTTTCCCTTTTAACCATGTCTAATGAGGGAATTGCTTTCATGCCTGTACTGGAGGCACAGCTTAAAGCAATATTGTGTGTTCTTCTTTAAGTCCTTTAAACAGTGTGCTCCACCATTTAAAAAAATAATAAGAAGGGAACTTGCTTTCATATATGAGTCTTTAATAAGCGCAGGGCACCCTTCTCTTTTTTTCCAACCACTGTGTCTTACACAAGAGTAAAGCATGATTCACGACCAGAATATCCTAATCAGACTTTCATCCAGGCTGAATCATCAAGCTTCTTTAGACAATCCTTTCCTATTTCCTCTTTTTTTATATATATATACCCCTTGCAAAAAGTTCAAAACAATGTCAACATTTTCGTTCGGTTTATATTTCTGCAGTCTGATTTCCGAATTGGTATCCAAGGCTGCTTCTGCTTAATCATGCGTAACTAAAAGAGAATCAAGATAAAATAGGACATGTGGCAGGTTTGCCGAGACAGTCAATGACCTTCTGGCCTGGGGAAGTGGTTCAAAAAAAGTCAAATATTTTCTCATATTTCATTGCAGTAAAGTCATATAGGAATAATAGCTCCAGGTAGTCCTCAACTTACAACAGTCCATTGACTGGGCGTAGAAAGTTACAACAACACTAAAAAAGTAACTTATGCGTGATGATCCGGGGCATGGCACAAAAGCAACAAAGTCACAAAAATGGGTAAAAGTCCCTTTAATTCAACTTGGTCCCCAATGTCCACTTATCATCGGCTGGAGAAAAAACTCTCCCAAGAACAATTTTTAAAGGGAAGAAATTTAGTCCCAACGAAAAATACATATAAATTATTAATAAAAACCACCACAAATCACGCTGCAGCAATTAAAGAGACAGGGCAGGATAAGGAATTGCAGAACTCAAAAGATAACGAAACACACACAGTTGGGAGGACACCAGAACCCAGATAGGACTTGATAAAGAAAGATAATGCATGCTTTGCTTCCAGCAAGGTGCTGTGCGCAAATCCCCTCTTTATACTGTTTCCCCAGCTGCAGCCAATGAAGGGAATCAGGGCCTCCTTCTCCCCCATAACCCATGTTGCTCCCTTCTCTGTTCCTCCCTGCGTGCCCTAGGAGGGGGGTGGGTCTGGGTATTCCTCTGAATGCCCAGCCGGACTGTGCCCAGTTTCCTCCACAGCCACCGGAGCCACACTCTCACTCCCTGTCAGCTGCTCAACCTCTCCCTCGGAATCAGATTCCAACAGGGGCATGACATTATGACTGTTTTTCTTGCGTACAACTGTTTCAGCATCCCCATGGTCATGTGAACAAAATTCGGACACTTGGCAACTTGGCAACTTATGACGGTTGCAGTATCCCAGGTCATTTTTTTTGCGACTTTCTGACAAGCAAAGTCCATGGGGAAGCCAGATTCACTTAACAGCTGAGTTACTAACTTAAAAACTGCAGTGATTCACTTAACAACTGCGGCAAAACAGGACGTAAAATGGGGCAAAACTCACTGAACAAATGTCTCGCTTAGCAACACAAATGTTGGGCTCCACTGTGGTCATAATTCAAGGACTACCTACATTCAGAAGGTACATCCAGGTGCCTCCTTGTGGCCTTTAGTAGAGACCTGATATTTTGCGTTTTGATTCAATTATTTGATCAATTGAATCAAATAGTCTTCTAACAGAAGAGTTGAATCAAAGAGAATTGAATATTCTTCTAACGGATTCTAGAATTAAATATTCTTCAATTCTAGAATGGAATAGCCTTCTAATAGAATAATTGATTCAATTCTTCTATAAGAAACATTTGCTTGTCATCAATCTGGATTGTTGTTGTTCAGTCGTTAAGTCATATCCAACTTTTCACGACCCCATGAACTAAAGCACACCAGCCCCTCTGCCCCCATCCTCCACTGTCCCCCAAAGTTTGCCCAAATCCATGTGATTAAATGAATAGTTGTAAGTCAAGGACGCGGTGGCTCAGTGGCTAAGACGCTGAGCTTGTTGATCAGAAAGTTTGGCGGTTCGAATCCTTAGCACCACGTAATGGAGTGAGTTCCCATTACTTTTCTCAGCTTCTGCCAACCTAGCAGTTCAAAAGCACGTTTTTAAAAAATGCAAGTAGAAAAATAGGGACCACTTTGGTGGGAAGGTAACAGCATTCAGTGAACCTTTGGCGTTTAGTCATGCCGGCCACATGACCACAGAGACGCCTTCGGACAGCACTGGCTCTTCGGCTTTGTAACGGAGATGAGCCCCCTAGAGCCAGAAAAGACTAGCACGTACGTGCAGGGGAACCTTTACCTTTTACCTTAAGTCAAAGACTACCTGTATAAAGCTATCAAACCAGGGATGTGGGTTTACTGGCTGCATTTACATTGCCTGCTCAGTTGTGGTTGTGGTTCTCATTCAACTGGCTTTTACAGTTATTTGTACTTACCATTTCATTAACCCATTCACAAAATTCCTTTGTCACCCTCTTGACGTTTTCATCCAGGGGTGGAACGTAATCTATTTTGGCTGCCTGTTGCCTCTGGGCCACTTCTTTCTTACTAAACCACGTGTAAGGGTTCTTCTTTTTTTGCACCCAGCTGCAGATACAAAAAGTGTAGAGTCTGTCATGAACGAGACCAAAATAGAACGACAACAAAAATGCTAAAGTACTGGCAGTCTTTGACTTTAGTGAATGTCTATGGAGATTCTCAGTCCTCCAGGTCATGATTGTCCCAAAGGTGCTTTTTTCAAAAGGCAACTGGACTTTCCTTGTTTTTGAAGACATTTCACTTCTCATCCAAGGAGCTTCTTCATCTCTGATTGGATGGAGAGGAATGGAAGAATTTATACTCCTTGCAGACAGCTGGTCATTTGCATCCTTTTAGAGGGTCGTTGAGGCCACTTCAGGGGTGGGATTCTACCGGTTCGCACCTATTCTCTAGAACCAGTTGCTAACATTCTAAGCAGTTTGGAGAAGTGGTTGTTAGAAGAAATCACTGGCCTAATCCTGTAAGGAAGGCAGGAAGGAAACATTCTGGTGTTGCTTACAGAAACTGCCTCTCCGTTAACCCTTATTACATTCTTGGCAGGACTAGACTTCCTGTCTCAGGAACTTCTCTGGAGTTATTTTTCCCCTCCTTTGCTGGTACTTTGCTTGTGTGGAGTGACCATTCAAAGTTACAATGGCACTGAAAAAGTGACTGATGACCCTTTTTCACACTTACGACTGTTGCAGCATCCCCACAGTCATGAAAGGCCAGGTGAGGAGATGCGTGCCTCAGTGTGAGTGATGTTGAGTTGGCCACGCCCAGCCAGTCACATGACCACCAAGGCACGCCCACTACATAAGCCATGCCCACAGAAGTGGTTGTTAAAACATTTGAATCCCACCCCTGGGCCACTTGGAGGTTTTTCTGTGTCCTCAGGATCACCTGAGTAGTGCAAATGGATGTGGAACCTTCTTGGAACTGTTGTAGACCAGAGATAGATAATGCCGTACTCATATCCTTCTCTTTCTGTTGAGAGAAGGCTGTTCAATTTTGACACAGAAGGCCTCTTTGACTCCTCTTTCAAACCAGACTGCAAAAAAAGAACGCAAATGAACCAGCTGTCTGCAAGGAATATAAATCCTTCCATTGCCTTCTATCCAGTCAGAGCTAAAAAGCTTCTTGGATGAGAAGTGAAACCTCTTCAAAGAAAAAAGACAAGAAAGTCCAGTAGCTTCTTGTAAAAAAAAGTACCTTTGGAACATTTGGTTTAGTGGCTATTCAAAGTTATAAGAGCATTGCAAAAAGTGGTTTAACACCGGTCCAACCCAGTCGTAAGATCAAAATTGGGACACTTGGCAACTGATATATATTTAAAATGCTTGCAAGCGCACTGGGGTCATGTGATCACTATTTGTGATCTCCCCAACCAGTTTCCAACAAACAAAGGGATTCGCTTAAAAAATGTGTAATCCGCTTAACAACGGCTGCCATTTGCTTAACTGTCGTCTCTTTTCCTGAGGGCCTAAAGACATGGAAGAGTATAAACCAGGGGCTCTTGCCACAAGAGTTCGCCTCCATGTTCCTTCTCACCCAAGCGCTGCCCATCATTTGGATCTCACCTAAAGGTTTTTTAAAATGTATTTCATTTTTATTTGTTAAATACTGCACTAAGGGAATCAGATATGAAGATCTGAGGCACACTTTAGAAGGATATAATCCAGAGACTCATGCCACAAGAGTTCACCTCCACGATCTTTTTCACTTCAGCCCATGGCAAGGCCAAGTGTACAGATCAAATACATACAGAATAACAGAGTTGGAAGGGTCCTTGTAGGTCATCTAGTCCAACCCCCTCCCACACATATGCACACTGTCTATCATTTGGCTACATCATGGCAATTGGGTCACCTAAATTGTTTTTTTTTAATTTCATTTTTATTTGTTAAATACTGCACTAATGGAATCAAATATGAAGATCTGAGGCACACTTTAGAAAGGTATAATCCAGAGATTCATGCCACAAGAGTTCACCTCCATGATCTTTTTCACTTCAGCCCATGGCAAGGCCCAAGCGTACAGATCAAATACATACAGAATAACAGAGTTGGAAGGGTCCTTGTAGGTCATCCAGTCCAACACCACCCCCACTGCCTATCATTTGACTACAGCATGGCAATTGGGTCACTTAATTTTTTTTAAATTTATTTCATTTTTATTTGTTAAATCCTGCACTAATGTAATCAAATATGAAGGCACACTTTGGAATGGAACGGTATAATCCAGATGTTCGTGCAACAAGAATTCAACTCTATATTCCTTCTCACCTCAGCCCATATCAAGAGCCATCATTTGGCTACAGCATGGGAACTGGGTCACCTAATTTTAAAAAAAAAACTATTTCATTTTTATTTGTTACATTTGCACTTTACTTATTTCACTACTCACGGAAGGGTGGCACTGTAGCTTCTGTTTGGGGGCACATCATATCTGATGTGATATTGAGTAGGCGAAGAGATGGTCAAATCGTCTTTACTATAATCCGGCGTTGTTCGAGTCAGCTCCATCCCAGGATCCAGGAGCTTCATCACATCATCAAAAAGCTGTGAGGGCACAGCAAGATAGAACAGGTCATGTGTTGCCTTGACTTATGACCGAAATTATGGGCGCTCAACTGTGGCCGTAAATCAAGGACTAACTGTACCATTGATTAATAATGAAGGAGATATTCATTTTATTACATTTTTAGATCATTCGGTCTAATGGTGAAGGCAGCCGGCTAGAAATCAGAAAATTGCGAGTTCTAATCCTGCCCTAGGCATAACAGCCATCTAGGTAACTTTTGCCCAATCACCAGGAGACTGTGAGTTCTAGTCCAACCTCAGGCATGAAAATTTCTGTGTGTCACACAATATATGTGGGTATATATGCATAATTTTGTATTTATTTATTTATTTAGGCAGGTTTATGTAGTGTATATTGGAGGTGGTGACCCTCTGAGAGCTGTATGCAATGAAATTTCATTTTAATGTATGCCAATTTAAAGTGACAATAGAATAGAATAACAGAGTTGGAAGGGACCTTGGAGGTCTTCTAGTCCAACCCTCTGCCTAGGCAGGGAACCCTGCACCACTTCAGACAAATGATTATCCAATATCTTTTTAAAAACTTCCAGTGTTGGAGCATTCACAACTTCTGGGGGCAAGCAGTTCCACTGATTAATTGTTCTGTCAGGGAATTTCTCCTTAATTCTAAGTTGCTTCTCTCCTTGACTGGTTTCCACCCATTGCTTCTTGTCCTGCCCTGTCAGTCTGTCTGTCTGTCTGTCTGTCTATCCGTCTGTCTATCATCTAATCTATTTATTTTTTCCAAATATCCTCCTCCTCCTCGTCTTCTACTTCTCCATCTGTGTAGTTTTTTCAAATATATTTCATATCAATCATGTCTATCTACCATATCGATCAATCTATCTATCATATCTATCATCTATGTATCTATTATCTAATCTATCTATATATCTACCCATTTTTCCAGATATCCTCCTTCTCCTTCGTCTTCTTCTTCTTCTCCCTCTAGTTTTTCAAATATATTTCATATCTATCTATCTATCTATCTATCTATCTATCTATCTATCTATCTATCTTTTATCTATCATCCATTTATCTATTTATCTATCTATCTATCTATCTATCTATCTATCTATCTATCTATCTATCTATCTATCTATCTATCATCATCTATCTATCTTCTATATATCATCTATCCATCCATCCATCCACCCACCCATCCATCTCTTTCTATTATCTATATCTATCTATTTATCTATATCTATCTACCCGTCTGTCTGTCTTTCTGTCTGTCTGTCTGTCTCTAAAACCAGTAGACTGAATTTGGGCCAGATACTCTCTCAGCCCATCCAACCTTACAGGGTTGGTGTTGTGAGGAAAATAGGAAGAGGAAGGTGTGTTGGATATGTTTGCCGCCTCGAGCAATTTATAAAAACAATAAAGACGGGATACAAAATAAATAAACGAATGCACCCATTTTACCTCTGGAGGCACACTCTCTTCCAGGTGTGGATACAGTGCCAGTGGGTGCTGCTCCTGGGTGAGCTTGGAGTCCATCTTGGATTTCAGAGGTGTAGGGAGTCTGGAGTGAACCGCTGTGCGTTTCCTCAGCAAACCTCTGGATTTGTAAGGGACAATCTGCGAAGGATCCAGTTTCTTATACTGTAGGATGATCGGAGCGGGCCCTTTTGTGCCTTGAATTATTAGGCTGCCCGAAGGTGGAGGACACCCACTTCTGAAATCATCCAGGCCACTTTTCAGGAATCTCCATCGCTGACCGTTGAGAGAATCCGAGAATCTCTCTTTATTACTGGCCTGCTTTTGAAAGCACTTGGAAGGTAATTTTTCCTTGTACCTGGATGGAAAGAAGGTACAGCCAGCATTGAAAGCAAATATCTCTTGGCTACTGTACTTCTACAATACATCTTTTCTATCCTGATCTACGGAGTGGAGAATTGGTCTCTGACAGAAAGCCACTTGAAGAGACCAGAAGCATTTGAAATGGGGATTTACAGGCAGCTGTTATGTATCAGCTGGGTTGACAAAATCGGAAATGAGGCCTCCTGGGAAAGCCAAGGGAAATCTGTCATGCCCCTGTTGGAGTCTGAATCCGAGGAGGAAGACATACAGCTGACAGAGAGTTGGATTGTGGCTCCATTGGCTGTGGAGGAAACTGGGGCAGGGCAAAGTCCGCCTGGGCAGAGCAGGAAAGAGGTAAAACAAGGGAGAAGAGTCCAGAGAAAGACCCAGGCCCACCCCCTCTTCATCCTAGGGTACACAGGGAGGAACGGAGAAGAGAGCAATGTGGGTTGGGTGGCTTACGGGATAGGAAAGGGCCCTGACTCCCTTCATTAGCCACAGCTGGGAAGAAAGTTTAAAAGGAATGCATGCTGATTGTGGCAGCTCCTGGGAGCAAACACGAGTTTATCTTGTATTGACTTTGATTATCTGTGTTCCTGGCGTTTTCCCAACCGTGTTGAGTTATTGCAATGCCTTCACGTGTGGAATTCTTGCTCCTACCCTGCCGAACTAATTGCCTCATTTTGCCTTGGTTGGACTTAAAGTTACAGTTTTTGTTGACCACGTTTTGGACTTGATTCTCTGCAGCCAAAGGCTGTTCCTGGAAGACTTTTTCTCCAGCCAGAAGGTAACCAGGCCATTGGGGGCAAAGTTGGAGCTAATAAAGGGGCTCTTACTGATTATCTGCTTGTGTTGCCTTTGTGCCACTCCCCTTTGGGTCATCACAGAAATCATCAAAACCATTAAAAAGCAAAAGTTTTTGGACATGGGATGCGACACCCAGAAAAATGTGGCCTACTTCATTTAATCCTCCAAGGAAAGATTTAAGGCAGATGAGGTCCAGGCAGAAGAAGAACATTCAGGGCTTCCAAATCTAAGGGACCGGTTTGGACAAAACTCAGCAGCATGTTTTCCTACAGCTGTTGATAAAAATAGGATCGCCAACATGATGGCCAATGCCCAAAGATGGATAGGGCACAAGAAGACAATACTTCTAAAAATGAACTGGGAGTCTACCAGCTTTCATAACAATATTCACTTCATCGACATTTTTGCTTGTGTTTTACTAAAGGACATACAGGTAGTCCTGGTTTGGCAACTGCCTCATTTAGTGACCATTCGCAGTTACAACGGTGTCAAAAAGAAACTTTGCAACCAATCCTTGCATTGATGGACTTTGCAGATCTATAAAGCAAAGGAAGGCTCAAGGAAAATCATAGCCACTGTTTACTTTAGAGATCGCTTCACTTAATGACTGATTTGTGATCATTAAATGAGGAGTAGATGTATTTAGTGTTCAAGATAATCCTGGCTGGACTTGCAAGGTATTCAGTTACAAACTATGATTGGATGATCCCCCTGCTGTTAAGTTTCCATGTTATTCCAGGGAAGCATCTGCCAATTGCTTTGCATCATAGGATAGCTTGTATGTATGTATGTACGTATGTATAGGTATGTGTACATAAATACATACATGCACAGACAAATAACGGAGGCAAGGAAGGTCGTAAAATGGAGCAAAACCCATTTAACAACTACCTCATCTACCAACAGAATTTTTGGGCTCCATTGTGGTTGTATAATTCGAGGACTGCCTGTAATAATTTAAAAAACACACCCTTTCTACTAGGTTTCACAGCCAGCAATTTTACAAGTCACCTTATTTAACATTAAAATGATATAACCTCTGCTGCAGGCATAGGTAACTTACAAGGCGAGGTTTGTAAGGAGTTTACATTCAACAAACCAGATTGTGCAGAGTATGGCTACCATCCAAGATGAAAACTAGCCAAGAATCAAATAAACAATACCCCAATCATGGAACTAGTAACACAGACAAATCAGCTAACCATAAACAAGGACCCACCAAGAACACTCCCACCAAAGCTACCAGGCAAGCCACTAATATATAAAAATGACAGCAAATCTTACTCCCTTCTAGCACTGATGACATTACCTAGTTTGGTAATGAAATGTCTGCAAGAAAAACAGCGAGCTCAGAGAACACCAAGGATCCCATAGTCCAACTCTGAGCTACAAATAACTCTCTGCTCTCAGGGCTACCATCTCTGGATTGGAAAGACTACACAACCCCTAGATGTCAGCAAAGAGCTGTGTTTTTCTTGAAAGAAGCTTTCTTGAAACCTGACAAGCTCCTTTAAGGCTTTTCAATAACCTATTGGAGCGTCCTTGACGGAATTTGTTAGCATTCCTGACCTTGGTGCTCTCTGAGTTTGGTTGTTTTCTTGCAGACATTTCACTACCCAACTAGGTAACATCATCAGTCCTAGAAGGGAGTGGGTTTGATCTCCACTCTCCACTAAATCACAAGCAATGGAAGACAATATGTAGGACAAACAGGCAGAAGTCTAATAATCACATCCATGAACACAACAACTAGTAGTCAAAAGACATGATGAAAATTCCTTATTTTCACAACACATGGACAGACTTAACCATAGTTTCAACTGGGAAACTGTGAGCATCCTAGACCAAGCCCAGTTTTTGATCTTGCCTTATGTCTAGATGTCAAAATAGGTTAGTCTGGTTACGGCAGAGGCTTTAGTACCAGCCAATTGTTGCTTATCCAAGTAAACTATGTTTAAGCCCTTTAATTTGGGTCATTGTTTTGAAGACAGCTTTAACTGGGGTTGAGTCAGCTTTCAAGGCCCTACGATTCCTAAAATAAATCCTAGACTGGCTGTCCACCCACGATGCTTGCTGCAAATGGACGTCCCTTCCTTGTTATCCGCACGCTTTAATCAGCCTACTCTTACTTGCTCACCAAGGGGCAGGACACATGTTGACTGGCATTAGGGCCAGCTCTAGCAACAGCTGGCCAAAGGGATCCAGCTGCCTCTGTTAAAAAAGGAAATGGTAGAACTAAGGATGCTTGTCTCCCAGCAACAGGATGCTTGGGTTAACCATTTGTTCCCGTTGCTAGGAGACAACAGCCAAGCCATGGCAACCATAGAGATGAATAACTGCCACACTTGTTTGGGCCTATTTGCTTTTGCTAGAGAAGTCTTCTCCGCACTGATGGTTCCTAGATGTGTTGGAATACATGTTTCTTGAAGTAACCCACCTTGGCTGCTGTGCTCAGTGGGAATTCTGGGATGTGTAGTTCCAGATCTTTCCAAAGGCCATGAGGCCACCTTACGGTCAAAGCCAAGGCCTCCTCACTTCAATCCTTTTGCAAACCTGGATGCTTTATTTATTTGCTGGGTTCAAGGGTGGCTCCAGTTGAAGAACTAGCAGCAAGCACGTGGATTAAAAATGATGCATAAGAATAAAATCCAGAAGGGCCCAAGGACCCTTAATAACAATTCACATATAAACATGTTCCTTCACAGAAAAGCAAAATAAAAGTAGTCCTCAACTTACGTTCACAATGGAGCCCCAAACTTGCATTGCTAAGCAAGACACTTGTTAAGTAAGTTTGGTCCCATTTCTGTTGGAAGAAAAATTGACATCCAGTTCCAAGTTGGGAATAAAACGGAGGTTCATTGGAAAGAAAGATTTATTGATAAAAAGAAGCACCAACAGCTTGTGGTTCTGGGGCAGCTGATGAAATGGAGTTGAAAGTGGGTGGGTTTTTATATACCTTCTTGATTCCTATGGGGTCATGTAGGGGTCATGGCTGGCTCTATAGGCAAGAGAAGAAATGCAAATCCTAGGTCTGAGCTAATCTTGTCAACCTTTGGCTTGTCTAATTGTGTTCACATCTGGAGTTTCTGTCTGACCCAGTCTTTCTGAATGGATTAACAAATCTGCATTTCTAAAAGCTGGCCTCCTCAGTTTCTGCTTGGGGCAGGGAAATTGGGTTGGTTTCTGCCTCCCTTAAGATTTTTCCCCATTTCTCCTTTAAGACAGGGGTCGCCAACCTTTTGGACCTCAGGGACCACCAAACTCGTAATTTTAAGTCCCGCAGGCCACTAATATGAATTTTGACCAACAGTGTTTTGCTGACGTTGGTGGGAAAGTCGGTCTCATACTCCAGAACTGCAGTAGTCACAGGATTGGCCCTTTGGTCCTCTGGAGCAGCTGCTCCTCCACCCAGGTGCACCGGCCTGCCATGGACTGGAGGAGCTGCTCCAGGATCACCAAAGGGCCAGTCTTGTCACTACTGCAGCTCTGGCAGAATTTTTTCCCCTTATTTTCTTCCCCAAAAACTAAGCCAATCATATGGTCTCGTAGGGAAGCATGAATATCAAGCTAGTTTTTATATATAACTCAATGAGGTAAATATTCATAATACTATGCTTTCTTCCTCCTAATTTTCCAGAACAACAACCTTGTGAGGTGGTTAGTCTGAGAGAGAGTGACTGACCCAAAATCACCCAGCTGGCTTTTATGCCTAAGGCGAGACTAGAACTCATGCTTTCCTGGTTTTTAGCTTGGTGCCTTAACTTTTAGACCAAACCTCACCTCCTTCCTTCCCTCTCACTTTCGCTCTTTCTCCTTCTATCGTGCTTGTTGCATTCAGTATATTTTTTAAAAATGAAAAAAATGGTTTGTAATATCAGTTACTGAACTCTCCTTTTGGTATGAGTACAATTGAACTTTTATCAAAAAATCTTTCAACTTCAATGTTTGGAATAAGAAAAAAAGGATGACTGTACCGTATTAAATCTCATTTTTGAATTTTCACATCATTCCTTACTTTAGCTTAAAGCTTATGCAACCACAATAGTAATAATAAGTAATAAATAAATAGTAATAGTAATAATAAAGAAATGTAATTAATTACACAGATGAGTTACAGGTTATACTGCTATATGTATATACTGTATAATTACATATATATGTTCTATTCCTTTCCCTTTTTTCTCACTTTTACTTTTCCTGTCACTTTTACTTAGTAAAGAATAAAATTATATATAATAATAAATTGAAATAAATATACTAGTATTGGGGGGACGTTAAAAAAAAACTTTTAGCCATATAAACAGGCTAATGTTAGAATTGTAACAACTGATCCTTCAAAGTAAGGTTATGATATTTGTCCTCCAACAAGGTGGTTTTATTTGGGAAATGTAATTATAAAATTACATTTCATAAAATTAAATTACTCATGAAATTTTAAGTTCTCCGTCCTAAGCACATTTGATGGAAGTGTACATTATTCATACACATTTAGTATGTAGCCTTATATGCCTGCAGGTAGTCCTTGATTTACATTTGCTCAGTCACCAAAGCTACAAGACCATTCAAAGTACTGAAAAAAAGTGACATGGCTATTTTTCACACTTACGACAGAGGTGGTATTTAGCAGGTTCTGACTGGTTCTGGAGAACCGGTAGCAGAAATTTTGAGTAGTTTGGAGAACTGGCAAATCCCACCTCTGACTGGCCCTGCCAACCCCATCTATTCTCTGCCTCCCATTGAGTCCCAGTCTTCTTTGGTTGCCCTGCACAGGAGAACAGAGCTGGAAAGCAGGTTAGTGGGGTGGGAAGGGAATGGAGATTTTGCAGTATCCTTCCCCTGCCATACCCATCAAGCCATGCCCACCAAGCCAAGCCACACCCGCCACGGCAAGCCACATCCGCCAAGCCAAACCCAACAAGCCATGCGCCTAAAACCGACAGTAAAAATGTTTGAATCCCACCACTGTCTTACAACCATTGCAGCAAGCTCACAGTCATGTGATCAAAATTCAGACAGTTGGAAACTGGCATGTGTTCATGACAGTTGCAGTGTCCCAGGGTCACATGATCACCTTCTGCAAACTTTTGACCAACAAAGTCAATGAGGAAGCCAGATTCATGTAATAACTGTGTTACTGGCTTAACAACTGCTGTGATCCACTTAACAACGGTGCCCAGAAAGGTCACAAAAAGAGTCCAAACTTACTGAGCAACGGTGTCACTAACAATGGAAATTTTGGACTCAACTGTAGTCATAAGTCGAGGCCTACCTGTACTTACAAACACATATACACAAATATATATACATATACAGTACATACACACACAGAGAGAGACAGTGACAGAGAGAAAGAGAAAGAGAGAGAGAGAGAGAGAGAAGGGAAGTAGAGAGATAATGGAGAGATAATGTTAATACTACCATCAAGCTAAACAATTAAAAAAAACTTCTGCACCTAAAATACTGCATCCAGTTTTGGTCACCACTCTATAAAAAAAGATGCTGACGCTCTAGAAAAAGTGCAGAGAAGAGCAACCAGGATGATTAAGGGACTGGAGACTAATGGCAATTCTAAAAACAAGCATAGAAACGTTTTATGAGTTGACTAATACATATGAAGAACGGTTACAGGAACTGGGCTTGGCTAGTCTTGGGAAGGACTAGGGGAGACATGATAGCAGTTTTCCAATATTTGAGGGGCTGCCACAGAGAAGAAGGGGGCAAGCTATTTTCTAAAGCGCCTATAGGCCAGACAAGGAATAATGGATGGAAGCTGATCCAGGAGAGATTTAACCTGAAAATAAGGAGAAACTTTCTGATAGTGAGAACAATAACCAATGGATTAGAAATTGCCTTCAGAAGCTGTGGGAGCGTCATCATTTGAAACTTTCAAGAAAAGATTGGACTGCCATTGGTTAAAAATGGTGTAGGGTCTCCTACTTAGGTGGGGGGTTGGACTAGATGACCTACAAGGTCCCTTCCAACTCTGATTATCTGTATCTGCAAGGCCGACTTTGTGTGGTTCAGAAATATAGCTATGCTGCTGGTATTATAAATCCCAGAACAGGTTTTTTTTTTAAAATGGAACACACTGTTCAGTTCACACTAAAATTTGAGATCAGCTTGTAACATGTGGGGAAAATCTGTTTCTTGATCTGTAAGAATCAGAATCTACCAATATGCTGCTTTCTTTTAACAAATGTGTGTGCCGAAAAGGACCTTCATTATGCAGCGCACTAAAACCTTCTTGCCTAATTTATTCTTTTTCAGTCATGAGGAAGGACGAAACGCTCTCAGTCATGAGCTGCACAAAACGCTGAGGAACTGGAAACTCGATTCAACCGCAGGTTTCTGAAATATTAGCAGCATCACCCACATATTTCCTTACGTAATCTTGCAATGTGTTCTAATAGGAGGGCAGAGATGCGCAAAGACCGCAGTACCATGTCTGCGGACTTACAGCATTCAGAATTGGAGTGTTCTCATTTTTTGTACCCATGATGAGATGATTTTTTATCTATTAACAGGTTTTTCCAGCTGTCTATATTTTTATCCTTCCTGGTTGGATAAACTGGAAGAGCCAGTTTGGCAAGGGGTGCCAACAGCGAAATACAGCAAACTGAAAATGAAAGAAAAGAAACTTTATTTTTTGGGGAAGAAAAGGGTGACAATCGAAAGAATTTTTCCATTCAACAAAGTGGTGGTTGGAAGGGTCAGGGAATCTGTTACCCGCCTATGCAGAATACAGGTAGTATTTGACAGGTCGTCAAACTTAATAAAACACAAATTGTTTTTAAAAGTAAAACCTATTCTAATGTGACACTGGGAATTATTTGCGTTCCCAGCCAAAACTAATTATAGGCAGTTCCTCCAGATAAGAGCACACTTCTCAATGCTGTAGAATGCTTGCCAACAAACAGATGTCCTACTAAGGCTTAACATAAACCAGCCCCAAAATCCAGAAAAAACTGACCAGAGTACAGAGCTCCAAGACGGACTCGGAAATTACTGAACTGCTTTGCTTCCTGCAAAGCTCTTCGTCATTGAGGTCTGACTTTTATCCGCACACTGGGAACAGGCTCCCCTGGGTCCTTTGCTTTGCTGCTGCCAGACTCCGAAGGCTCTGGAGTCAGCACCCCATTCCCACATGGTCCTGG